CCTCATAAATAGCTTTTATTCACTTTTCTCCCCTTTTGATTTTTTCTGCGTTTATTAAGTTGTTGTTTTAATGTTTTAATTTTAGTTTTGCTTTTTTATTAAATTATTTTACGTTTTTCTTTCTACTATTCCCTCTTTTGATTGTTCTTTGCTGCACTCTTCCTGCGAGGGGTGCCGTGTGTTCCCGCCCAACTGCTCCACTCGCACACCACCGACACGCTCATGACGACGGCCCTGTGCGCCTCGCCTGCTGCACGCATGAGGAGGGGCCGCGACGAACGGCGCGCTGAGGGGCCGTGACGTGTGGGCGTGCGACGAGGGCCTGTGGGGCGGAGCACACATTTCTTTCCCTCTTGTTTTGTTTTCTTGCGGCCAGGGCTGGCAGACACCCGCAGCGCCACACACACACACAGCCACACCCTGCCGCTTTAAAAAAGTAATTTTACTTGCTCTCTTTGACTGTTCTTCTTGTTTTTCGTGTTTTTTTTTGTTGCGCTCACTCTCCCGATGGAGTGACGCGACTCCCGTCATGTCTGCGTGCTTCTCTCAGTCCCCCCACACACGAGTGACTGTGCTCTGCGGGCCGCACTCACGCGCCGGTGAGAGGGCTGAGGGGAGCAGCAACACGCAGATGACCCGTGAAATATAAACGATGTGCGGACACACGGAGGTCGGACGGCTGAAAGGCAAGTAATTATTTAATTTTTAATTTGCGGGCAAAATATAAACAGTTTGGTGGGAGCACACAGTAACCGAGTGATTCTTTTTTTTTTTTTAGGAGTAAGAGCAATGGAGGACGACTTCTCTCTTGCGTTTTTTTCTTTCTATTTAATTACTTTGTGCGGGGCTGGGAAGATAATGGTGAAAGGGGAAGTTTTTTTTTTTTGTAGTTGTTTTAAATAAATCTTGTATGACTCGCCACTGCTTGGGATGCAGTGCAGTCGTGAGTTTGAGCAGTCTTGTTACTTCTACCATGCGGCTCTGCTGTGCATTTTGTTTTTGCGTTTCTTTACATGCTCCGCTTCCTTTTTTACTTCTTTGCGTCGTGTTTCTGCAGGCACGCACAAGCACACGCACACAGAGTGCAAATCACAGTGGATTCGGATGGCTCTTTTGCGGTGCGTGTGGCAGGTGCGTGTGGGTGCCGCTTTTTCCCGTGGGCATGAAGCGAAGGGAGGAGAGAGGCAGCGCGCAGGGCGAGTGTCTCTTCCTGATGGTGTGGGGCGCTGCGTTGTGACCGCATGGAGTGAGGCGCCGCGTCGTGGATGGGTGAGGAATCGCTTCTGCGTGTGTGTGTGGCTCTGTGGTGATAGCTCGCTCCTTTTGCGCTGTGTGTTGGCTGCGGGGCTGCGGCCGTATCCCGTTGGCCGTGGGATTGAACTGGAGGCGATGGTGGCGTTGGGTCTCTTCTCCTCTTCCATGGCGGGTGGCTGCTGGCGGTGTGTGCGTTTGTTGTGTGGAGGGCCGAATCCTCTCACCCGCGGACTGACGGCACTGCGATGGTGTTAGTGTGTGAGGGCTGGTGTGGAGTCGCCGGCCAGGGTGAGGGCCGTGGCGGTGCTTTTCTCGAGACTGGTGTTTGTTCCTTTTGTGTGTTTGTGCTGCTTCTTGCCTTTCCCTGTAATCTTCTCCTCCTGTGTTCCTGCGTGGAGTGGCCGCATGCTCACGGGCCATTTTTATAGTGCCTCTTGGCGGCATCCATCCATTTCCCTTTCTCACTGTCTGTCCTTCCTGTTGGGTGTGAGGCGTGCTGCACCGCGTGAGGGCTGGCCCGCACACACCGACGGCCCGCCGTGACTTGTCGTGTTGCTGCTCTTTTCTGTGGGCGATGGCTCTCCGTGCTGTTCCTTCCGGATTGTCTTGTGCCCCGCTCTATGCGTGGGTACTCTGCCCTGCTCACCGCTGACGTGTCTGATGTCTTGCCGCTGTCGCTGTCTCCTCCACCTGTTGAACACACACATAGAGGGAAAACAAGCGCGAATCGCTACTGTGAAATTCGAAGGCACTGAAAGGACCAACAGCACACACACCGCCCACACACACATATTTATATGCTCTCACGTGTTGCTGCAGTGAAGGCACCCCGCACACACAACCGTCGCCGCGTGACCGGATCCAGCGGAAGGAGGAGGGAAGGAAGAGAGAGTGAACCGCGGAGGCCCGACATGTCCCGGCGTGCGTCTACTTTCGCGGTGCTGCTCCTCCTCGTCGTGATGATGTGCTGCGGCACCGGTGGAGCTGGGGAGCTGAGGAAAGTAATGCGGTGCAGCTCATTGATTAATTTGAAGGGATGATAATTATTTCTTCTGCTAAATAGGGCGGAGGTAAAAATGACGTGGAAGTTACGTTGCTTCGTGCTCCCAGCTTTGTGGGTGTGAAGGGCGGTGTGTTTGCCACTGCTGGGGTTCAGTGCAGGGCTGAAGGCGGAGTCAGCGGCTGTGATGGGATTATGGCGAGGCGGCTGAATTTAAGTGGTGGTCCAATGGAGATCTCGATGGCGGACAGCAGTGTCGCTTTTGCGCGATTTCTGGGGGGTGTTGCTGCTACGGATGGTAAGGAGGCAGCAGAGATAATGCGACCCACAACAGTTGTGAGTGGTGGCAACATCTGCATGCCTCTTGGGGACTACGGCAAAACAAGTTCGGACACACAACCGGCTGACGCAAGCAACTGGAGCCTTTTGCTTGTGAGGGGGACCGTCACTGGAGAGGGTGAGAGCAGGATGATCCGATGCAGTGGGGCCCATGCGGTTAAACCCGATGCCGGAGGTCGCACTAACTCCCTGAAGAATTTGAATGGTGGAGGAGGTTCGGGTGTTGCGTTTCATGGCGGCACGATTGTGTTTCCCTGCAGGCCACAGGCGGGGATGGAAAGAGAGTTTTGCTCGCCGTGCAGCTCACTTCGTCGGATAATAAATGGAGGCTTTCGTATGGCACGACTGGCAGGGGCTGCGGGGATCTATCCGTTGTGGAGTGGGTAGCTGGCAAAAAACTTATTCTGATGTCTTCTTGTGGGGATGGCCAGCACCAACTGTGCGTGTCCGATGGGCATGGGACGAGTTGGTATCCAAATCGTGTGTCGATTAATCGCGTGTGGGGCAACTCACATGATAGAAAAGGGTACGGAGTGCAGAGTGGATCCACCACCGCAGTCATTGCGGGCGAGAAGGTGATGCTCGCCGCCCTGCCCGCGTATTCTAAGGACAATGAAAAGGGTCGGCTCCATCTTTGGGTGACGAGCAGTGTGCGTGTGCACGATGTTGGTCCGATATCCCGTGAGGGTGATGACGCTGCCGCCAGCTCGCTGTTGGTGAAGGGGAATAATGACGAGTTGCTTTCACTGTACGAGAACAAAGAGAGGAGCGAGGACGGATCAGACGGTCATGTTGCTGTGCGCGTGGCGGCGGGGCTGCAGCGTGTAAAGGATGTGGCGAAGAAATGGACAGATTTGGAGAGCGCCCCTCAATGATGCAGTCGTACTGCCAAGGTTGGCTGGGCGGCAGCAAATGGCATGTGCACTGGTCCTGTTCCCACCAAAGGGCTGGTTGCCTTTTTGTCCGGCAGCCCAACTGAGACCGAATGGCGGGACGAGTACCTCGGCGTGGGCGCAACAATAAAGAATACGGCAGCGGCTGTTAATGGAGTGACGCTCAAAGGCGCCGGAGCAGGAGCGCAGTGGCCGGCCGACATGAATGGGCCGACTGTGCCGCACAACTTCGCAAACAGGGAGTTCACTCTTGCGGCGGCGGTGTCGATTCACGAGGTGCCGGAGAGTGGCAACGTCCCTTTGGTGGGTGTGGGGATGAGCGACCCCAACAGCACGGTGCTCATTGGCCTGTCGTACACCCACGAAAAGAATTGGAGCTTTATGACTCCTAGTGACGCTAATCCTGACGAGCCTGCTCTTTTTGACTGGAAACCAAACACGACGTATCAAGTGACGCTTGAAATGAATACGGATGGCTGCTACGTGTTTGTGGATGGGAGGGGGTTGTACATGAAGAAGGCGGACGAGGAAAGCTTTGCAACCCTGCTGGAGAGACACAGGATCTCATACTTCTTTATTGGCCGCGGCAGTGCGAGAGGCACGGAGAGCAGCCGTATGACGGTGACCAACGTTATTCTGTACAACCACACAGTGTATGGTGAAGGGTTGGAGCAACTCAATGCAAGCACAGTCCCTATTCCACAATCGGGTGTTGCCAAACAGCAGAGGAAGCACGAGGGTGACCCGAGTTGTGGCGACAGCACCGTCCACTTGTCCGTGTCCCCGGTGCTACTACTGCCTGCTTTGGTGCTGCAACTGTGGGGCATGACGGCTCTGTGCTGAAGAAGGCATGGGGGTGGAGTGGCGACTCCCCGTGGGGAAAAAACTGTCCAGCTTTCCAGCAGCACTTACTGCATTTTGCCGGGGATTTTATCTGTTTTTTTCTTTTTATTTTTTTGGCGCAGGTGCTTTGTTGGGTTCATCAGCGCCTCCGTGTGTTTTTGTGTTTGTTTTCTTACCTTTTTCCAAAATCCTTTTCCCCCAATGTCTGCCTAACAGACACACCGTCATGCGTGGCGTGTTTCCTCCTTTTGTTTCTCTTTTGATGCCCACACGCGGTGCCGGCCTGACTGCTGTGCGTCCCACGGACCGCACAAAACGGGGATTGGAGGGGCAGGCCGGATGCCGCATGGAGTGTGAGGGATGTTCTGTGTGCTGGTGGAGGAGTGCGATCTTTTTTGTTTGTGCGGGCAATATGTATGCACGCACCCATTTCCTGTATGCTTTGGGGCACATGAAACGAAAAATTCTGCTGAGAGATTTTTTCATTGTTTTGTTTTGCTTCCAGGGAGTCGTGCGTTGTGTGCGGCGTACGGTGCATGCCTGGCTGCTGCCCTCTCTCCTCATGTGGTGTGCCCTCTGTGTGTGTCTGCCGCACCTCTCGTCTCCCCTGTTGCTCTCCATGTCCCTCACTGCGCAGATCAGCTCCACATCACTGAACGACCACACTCACGATGATGACGTGCCGTCTGCTGTGCGGTCTGCTGGTGCTCTCCCTGTGCTGCTGCCCATCCGCGTGCGTGACGGCTCAAGACCCCGATTCACCGTCACCTTCTACGGAGTTAAAAGGTGTGGCCGGGGCGGGAGGGGAAGCAGGTACGCCCGGTCATTCAGTGTCAGGCGATGGGGCACAAAATCAGGATGATAAATCGAGAGAAGAATCAGATGTGGGCCATACATCAGAGTCATCAAGTGAGAGGTCCACGCAGTCAGATCGACAGGAAGCAACCGCCACGGGCAAAACGCCACATACATCGAATTCTGCGGACAGTACGGGACCGGGAACGAGTGCGCCACTGGTAACAGTTGAGAGGCCCTCTGCGTCAGAGGCACCCAGTAACTCCGAACACAAGCCAAATACCACGACCACGACCACGACGACGACCACTGCGCCAGAGGCACCAAGTAGCACGGCCATGAATGCGGAGGCGCCTACTACGACGACCACCCGCGCGCCGTCACTTCTTCGCGAAATCGACGGCAGTCGCAGCAGCTCTGCGTGGGTGTGTGCCCCGCTGCTGCTTGCCGTATCCGCGCTGGCGTACACCGCTCTGGGCTAAAGAGGTGTGTGCGGGTTGTGCGTGCCAGCACTCAGCCGCGGGGATTTGTGCGCGTGTGTTGTTTTCCGATGTAACTAAATAAGAGAAAATAATGATTATGCTTCGCTTCATTTGCTTCTGCTGCCCTGCTGTGTGCTCCGCGTTGTTCCCCACATTCGCCAGTTAGCACGTATCCAGACGCCCTTGTATGCACGACACCCACATGACTGTTTGCGTGGACTTACATTTGTAGATGGGTGCTTGCGCACTGGAGGCATTCGGTGCAGCTTTTTTTGTGTTTACTTTTTTGACTTTATTGCTGTTTGTTCACTTGTGTTTCTGTTTTGAATTTTCTGTTTGTTTTCTTGCCTTTTAATTTATGCGTGGCGCTGTGCGTCTTTTTTCCCTCCACTGGTTCTATCTACCTCATGGAGTGTGTGGGCTGCCGCTGCGGGATTGATGCCATTCATGGCTGTGTGTTGGCTGTGTGTGCTGCAGCGGCCGTCTCTTTTTCTCCTTTTGCTTCCGCTCTGCATTGACGGGGAGTTGGTTTGTGCTGAAGGCTGCAGGCAAGTGACAGGAGTGATGGCGATGATGATGACTGGCCGTGTGCTGCTGGTGTGTGCCCTCTGCGTGCTGTGGTGCGGTGCCGGCGGGGTTTATGCGAGGGACATCGACAACAAGGCACTGGGCGATTGCATGACCTCGGGAGTGTTGGTTACGAATTGTTCCCATGTGCCTAGTGGGTGTGATAAAACCGCTCCGAAGCCGCCTTTTCGGTCAGCGTTGCCCATCACTGTCTTACAGGCCGATGCTTCTGAGGGAAAAGATCTTACATCGCAAGGGGATAATTTAAATTCAAGTGAATCTTCGGGTACCGGCGCTCCTGGGAAAGCTTCTGAAAACCCCGGTGGAATTCCGGGGACCGATGACAGCTCTGGTGGTGGCAGCTCTGGTGCTGGTGGAAAAGAGGCAAGGCGGGAGGCGGAGGGCATGAACGAAGCGTCTAGTGGCAAACAAGTAACAAATGAAAAGGAAGTATTATCACCAGCAGGGGGAGGAAGTGCGCCAGATCCTAACGGCACCCATAATTCACCAGAAACCAATGCAGTAAACTCAGCGTCAGAAAACGAGCCGGAGTCCAACTCACTGGAACGGTCTTCAGAGGATGGTGAGGCAGGGCAACAAGATGAGGAGGCAGACGCACAGGGAACACAAGAAACGGAAGTGAGGCAAGGAACAGCAGCATCACCCGTCTCCACAAGTGGCAGTGGTGGTGCCCAGAGTGAGGCGGATGCGGATGTTGACGACCCTCAACGGCCTAACCCCGAAGGACCGCAGAACGACGGAACCGAAGCTGGCGATACCCACGGTCCAACTGCAGTCAGCGATGCAGCACCACAAGCAGCAAAAGCAATCACCGCTCAAACAAATGGTACGGTGACACCTGGCGACAGTGACGGCAGCACCGCGGTCTCCCACACCACCTCCCCTCTTTTGCTTCTTCTTGTTGTTGCGTGCGCTGCTGCTGCGGTGGTGGCCGCGTGAGAGTGAGGGAGAGAGAGCCGTGCACCGCCCGCACACACACTCTTCCTTCTCTCTGTGTGTGTGTCCCCTTGCATGGACTCTCGCCCTCACCTCACCCCACGAGGCACACACAATAATGTGCCCATTGTATATATGCATGCACACCCATGCAGGCCCGTTGGTGCTCTCTTTTGCACGACACGCACCGCTGCCGTCCTGCCTGGCTGCATGGGCGGAGCACCGTAACTGTTTCTGTTTTGTTTTTATTGCATTGAGTGGGCGACCTCTCTCTTTCTCCCTCTGTGTGTGTGTTTTGCTTTACGGGAGTAATGGGAGTGTGTGTGCGCTGGTCGTCCCACGCCTCGGCTTTTTGTTTTGTTTTCCTTTTTGATTTTGTGGTTGAGTGCACCCATTCCGCGGCTGCGTATGTGTGTGTGTGCGGTGATATGAGTAATTTGCGTGTGTGCTATCTGCCTCTCTCTGCCGTTGCTTTCTTCAGACTCTCTTGTGGCGCACAGCTGCTCCGTAATTATAGGCGCTGCCAAACACACACATGCACAGATAGACACGTCATGCCGCACACGCTGTGGAGCGGCGTGAGCGCTGAGAACGCACGCACAATATTCTGGCTGCGGTGGTTTTTGCGAGGAGGGAAGGAGCGTGCGATTTGTTTTATTGACATGTTGCTGGTGTGATGTTGGCGGCCTGCGGCCAGTGGGTGGTGTGGTGTGGAGGGTGCCTGGGACGAGTGCGGATTGCTTCCCGCCCTGCAGCCTCGCGTGCCGACGCGTCTTTCCTGCTGCGGATTTTGTTGTTGGGGATATTCCGGCTGTGAGGGACAAGAATTAAACGACGGGCGGCAGCGCGTGGGCTTTGCGAAGGGCGGCCGTGCTTTTTTTGCATCTCGTTGGTTGTTTTCTTGTGTGGGCGTTGCTCGGTGTGTTGACGCGTGGGAGAAGCACCCGCCGTGGCTCCTGCTGCTGGTCGCAGTCGCTGTGTGTTCCCGGTGCACTGTTCTTCCTTCTCCTGTTCCGTGTGTCTGTGCGTGAGTTGTTGTTGGGAGTGGCTGCGGCGGGGATGATGATGCCACTCACAGTGGATGGGTGGCTGTGCTCACTGTCTTGTCTCTTTGCTTGGCATGCTTCCTTCTCTCTCTACTTTTTCACACACATAGAGGGAAAAGAAGCGCGAATCGCTACTGTGAAATTCGAAGGCTCTGAAAGGACCAACAGCACACACACCGCCCACACACATATATTTATATGCTCTCACGTGTTGCTGCAGTGAAGGCACCCCGCACACACAACCGTCGCCGCGTGACCGGATCCAGCGGAAGGAGGAGGGAAGGAGGAGAGAGTGAGCCGCAGGGGCCCAACATGTCCCGGCGTGCGTTTACTTTCGCGGTGCTGCTCCTCCTCGTCGTGATGATGTGCGGCAGTGAAGCCACTTATGGCAAGGAGGGCAATTCAAGGAATGGAATCATTTTAGAAGGAGGGGATTTGTTTAATGATGCAGAGAACAAATCTATGATACATACGTTGGATTCCTTCCGTGCATCTTCTCTTGCTTACGTGAAAGGCGCTGTTGTGGCTATCGTTGAAGCGCATTACACAAGTACCACGGATAGTAAATCGTGTGTTGTTGGTGCTGCGGATTCGATTGACAGCGATAAAAGGACGTGGACGAAGGGAAGTGCCATCGTGTTTGATCATTACGGCATTAGCTTTGACCCCCTTTTGCGCCCAACAGCTATTGTGGATGATGGGGGTATAAAAGGGCCTTTGTTGGGGGTTGTGGCAAGTCAGGGGCTCCACTGACGAAGGTGGCTGGTGATGACTGTTGGACGCCCAGGATGGCGGAGGGTGACGTTCCGCATGACGATGAGGATGAGGGGAAGAAGGAGTTTGCGTGGCATGGAAGCGGCACCTCGAATCTTGACAGCCTTTTGAAGGATTTCAAACCCATTCCCGAACAATTCAAACCATTTGTGGGTGGTGGCGGGGCAGTCATTCGGTTGGAGGCCAAGAGTCGCTACGTGCTGCCTATTCACGCCTTGAAGGATGATGGAAAGGTCGTTTTGTTGATCATCGTTGCCAAAGTTTTTGCTTATGGCTGGGAGTTTTCAAGGGATACGAGACCTGCGGGATGCATCCGGCCTGCGGTTCTTGCATGGAAGGACAGAGATCTCGTCACGATGACGTCGAGTGCGGACGGCAGCTGCGGGGCTTACTGGGCGGACGAAAAGGGGGAGTCGGTGGACGGAGGCATACGACACTCTTTCGCGCGTGTGGGGCAACTCACTGACACGTGCGGGGCACGGCGTGCAGGGTGGCTACGTCAGCGCGACGGTCGATGGACAGAAAGTCATTCCCGTCAGCCGGCCGGTATGTTCCGAGACGGACGGTAAAGAAGAAACGCGTCGACTTCACTTGTGGCTGTCGGACCTGCAGCGAATTTATGATGTTGGGCCGGTATCCGCTGTGGGTGAGAAGGTCGCCGCCAGCACTCTGCCGCACTCCGTTGAGCTGCAGGTATGGGAGGATCCAATAGAAGCGAGGAGATTGTGCTGCTCGTACGAGGTCGCTGCTGCAGAGGACGGTGAGTACAACATTGCTTTTGTGGGCCTGACGGAGAAGTTGGGGGACATGAAGGAGGTGGTGGCCTCACCAAAGGGCTGGTTGGCTTCTTATCCAGCACGTCAACTGACAGCACATGGAGAGACGAGTACCTCTGCGTGAATGCAGCCGTTCGCGGGGAGGTGACAAGTACTCCCGATGGTGGATTGACGTTCAAAGGACCCGGAGCAGGGGCGGAGCGGCCTGTTGGCGACATGGGGCCGAATCAGCCGTACCACTTTGCGGACAAGAATTTCACCCTCATGGCGACGGTGTCCGTCCGCGAGGTGCCGAAAGCAGGCAGCAGCAGCTCTATCCCTTTGACGGGTGTGAAGCTACATGACCCCGGCCACACGGTGCTCTTTTGTCTGTCGTACACGAGTGAAAATAAGTGGGAGGTAACAATCAACGCCAACACTCGGAGTTTGTCGGGGGATCGCAACTGGGTGCGGGGCAGAAAATATCAGGTGGCACTGGGAATGGATTATTATGTTAAGCATTTGATTGTGTGCGTGGATGGATTGCTGATGTACGACAGCGAAAAAGATTATGAGGATAATGAGGACTTCTTTGGAGAACTAAAAACAGTGTTGAGTTCCCACAGCACATCGCACTCCTACATTGGCGGGGAGCGTGCGGGGGACTCGGACGACGTTCATGTGACGGTGAGCAACGTCCTGCTGTACAACCGCATATTGAGCAATGCCAAGCTCAAGGCGGTAATGAAGAAGATCGTCGTTGGCACTCCAGTGGCGAAGGTGCCGGTTTCGAAAGGTGCGCCTCAAACCAATCCTGCGAGTGAAACCTTTCTTCAATCCGCCAACGAGGCGTCGTCATGAATGAAGAGCGGCAAGACGCCACATCATCATCACCGCAAAGTCAACACTCACCAGCGCAGCCATTAGGAAATAAAAATGGTCCAGCAGCTTCCATGCAAACATCTTCTGCTGATGCCATTGGCCCATCCACCTCAGGTGGTACGGGGAAGTGAAAGAGGAGGAACCCAGCAGCGGTGGAATGGTGCCTGCATTGTCTCCAGCGTTGAGCGCGGGCAGCCGTCCGCTGCCAACACGCTCGCCAGCGACAAACAGGACGCTGGCCCTGAATGGGACACGCATGCTCACACTGCCGTGGGCACGAACAGCGGCCCCGATTCACTCAGCACCACCGACGCGACGCCCGCGGATGGCGCCACAGAAATCCCTGAGCCCCGCACAGACCCAGCAACTGTTCAACGCAACGATAGTGTGCTGGACGGCGTTGGCACCGCACCGACTCATCCGAGCACAGCGCCTGCGGAGTCCAAGATCCCATCGGAGTTCAACGCAGCGCCGCCCTTGGGCAATGACCTTTTTGACTTGGAGAATATCACCGAGTTGGTGTCCATGGGTCTAAGGGCCGACAGCAACGTGCATGGGTGTGAGTCTCTCGTGTGCTACTATTGCTGCTGCTTCCGGGGCTGTGGGCCACTGCGGGCTCTCTGCTGAGGTGTGAGGGAGGGTGGAATTGCGACTTCTCGTGGAGCAACAAATGTGCAGCTTCCCAGCATTACTCACCGAATTTTGTCAGGGGCCCATTTTTTTCTTTTGTTTTTTCTAACTTTTATTATTATTATTTTTTGTTTTATTTTTCTTTTTGCGGCTGGTGCTCTATTGGAATAATCAGCACCGCTGTGTTTTTTCTTATTTTCAATGGCCGTTTGCTACAATCCGTTATGAGCGACGTGTTTCCGACTTTTGTTTCTCTTTTGATGCCCACACGCGGTGCCGGCGTCACTGCTGCGCGTCCGGCGGAGTGCACAAAACGAGGAGTGGCGGAGCAGGCCGGATGCCGCATGGAATATGAGGGATGTTGTGTGGGCTGGTGGAGGAGTGCGATCTTTTTTTTTTTGCTTCAATTTTTTTTTTCTCTGGTGCAGGGAATATGCATACACAAACACACGGTCGTCTTTTGCTGCATGGCACACGTAATAAAAGTCCTGCCCAACAATATTCACCAATTTTTTTTTTTACGTTTGTGAAATCCCGCCAGGCTCCCACCCTTTTGTTTCTCACCTTTTTTTCTTTTGGTAAATCACTGCGGCTCGTGTTCTTCTGTGCCGTGCCTACTTCCAATGGGTGTCTTCGTTTCCCGTTGACTTTCCCTCTGCTGGTTGTGCCGTTGAAATGTCCCCATAGCTTTTTCTTTTCTGCTAGAGGCATCGATGGCACGGGGGTGGCGTCCTGCCCCGGCCTGCTGAGCACACTCGGAATTGAGCGGATGGTGTGCGCCGTGCCTCACTCTTGAGTGTGGGACGCCACCCACCACGACCTGCTGTGAGGCTCAGTGATATTCCGTCGGGGCGGGGAGAAGTGAAGGACTGCGCCGTGGACTTGGACGCGCCTCGTTCGTTTTGTTGTTGCCGTG